AGGTCCTAGAGTCTGGAAGAAGAGTGGAGATGCACAGAATCCAAGGTCTTAGGAGTCCAGTGGAAGTTTCTAGTCTTTGATGATTTGGGGTGTCATGTCATCTGTTACTGCTGGTCCACTGTCTTCAGGTCCAAAGTCAATGCAGCGTCTACCAGGAGATGTCAGAGCACGTCATGCTTTTTTCTGCTGACACGCTTTGTGGACATGCTGATTTTCTTTTCCAGTTGGACTTACCACCTTGCCATCAGTGCCAAAACCACTGCCAGTGGGTTTGCTGACCGTGATATTACTGTGTTCATTTGGCCAGCAAACTCACCTGACCAGAACCCCATAGAACGACATGAAGTATGACCAAGAACAAAATGAGACACATCCGACCCACAAACACAGATGAGCTGAAGGAAGCTGTCAAAGCAACCAGGGTTTCAACAATTTGTATTTTTATTGAAATAATGCTAAATCCTTCAGTTTTAGTGAAAAATTGTGCCTTCTGACTTGTATTATTCCACTGACATCCCTTTGTTTTTACTATTTGTTTCCATTATGACAATTAACAGTTAGACTTACTTATGGAAAGTGAGCTTCAAATGCAAGTAAATATTTTCTGATTATTTAATTTAAAGGTATTCAATTACTTTTAGTCAGCAAATATGTATGATGAGTATAAAACATAAAAGGCAGTAGAAGACAATTTACGTAGAACATAAAACAGATTAGACAGTCGCTGGCAGCTTTAGTTTGGTAGCTTTGCATCATACTCTTAGTTAGTCCTGTCAAGTGTTTGACTTGATGCTGCTACTATTTTCATTATCTGCATTTGTTTGAAACAAGTCCTACACATTCTGTAAATTATTATCAAATATTACTTGTATAAGCTCAGTGTCAACCTGAGTTGACGGCGGCTGCTGTGTGATACGCAGATTGTCCGAACCCATTCTGCAGCAGTATTGCATGTGTGGGCTGAACAGCAGTCTTCATGCCACTACAATACATGTGACCCCGCTGACAAAAATACTGAGCAGATTGGGATTTTGTCATTGTATTTTCTCATAAAGCCTATGGATTAACCGTTAATGCCAACGGCTTAAAAGATACTTCCACTGTTAAAATATAATTATTTGATTAATATTCTGAGCAAGCACAGTTCATCTCATTTCGTAACTTGCTGAATTTACAATGCACACATTATTGTGTCTTAATACTACTTGTTGGAATATACAAAAAAAACTTCTAGCGGCTGTTGTGCATGTGGTGCAACACAAACATTTATATTAGAATGCGAACAAAATAAACACTGACTTTATTTCAATCATATTAATCATTATGCCGATTGTGCTGCCTTGTTAATGTTGATGGCTAGTCTGAGAATAATTGACGAATAATGTTATTAGTTATTAGTTAATTAATAATAATAAATAATTTATAATTAATTCGCTTTTTCTAAAAAAAGAACAAAGCATTTTTAGTAACAGAGCCACAGCTTTTTCTTCATTTTGCTCCCTTTTTTGTTTGATATCATTTTAAACTTTTTTTTTTTTTTTTTTTAAGACGGTTGAACAAAAGCAATTTAAAGAGCTCACTTTTTTCCCTTTGGAACCTATTCAGGCCTGTTTTTCATTGTTTTTTTTTTTGACATTTTACAGTCAAACAGATTGCTTAATCACTTAAAAAAAAAAAAGCAAAATTGAAAATTATTTTGAGTTTGAATTTCAAATGGCTGCAGCCTCTCATGTATTTGCTTCGTAATGGTCTCATAGAGAACTGGCAAGAGGATCACTCTGCTTCCTCGCCAGGACAAGCTGAATTAGACTCATGCATGTACAGCTAAACTTGTTCTCTGCTGAACCCATCATGCCTTTTACATGCAAGCTTTAAATACCGTGCCAGCTGTGTCTTTAAAGCAGCTCAGCAGCACAATGAGAATGAACTACTAGTTCCTTGTTTGTGTCTAGCTCTTAATGCCGTGCACTAAACTTGTACATGGCATTACATAAAAAATACACGGGTGTATGAAGCAGACTGAGTAGAGGATGGACGAGTAAATGGTTTTGGTTAGTTGTTGAACTAGTCTTGATCATGAAGGGGAGATGTGGAAAGAACTGCTGTCCATGTTAAGCACATTACCCAAGGGAGAGCTGAATTAGAAATCAGCTATGGGGGGGTGTAAGGTCATTGTCTGTATTGAAGGGAACAGGCGGCCTCTATGTCTGAGGATTAGCCTCGCTGTTAGCTTGCCACCAGGCATCTGGTGCTCTCACAACACACACTTTCAAAGGATTGCTGCGCTGCAACATGACTACAGAGAGCAGAGAGATTTTACTGGACTGTGAGTTACTCTTGACAACTTTCTGCTGTTGTGTTTTGTTACTATTTTTTCCCCCAAAGAGCTTAGCTTAAGAAGAGCTATTTATGGTAACGCTTGATATCTTTGATGGTTTTGGAATGCGATGCAGTGTAGGAATGGGAGTCGTACTTTATTCCAAACTCAACTCAACGTGGAGGTGAGAACTGCTGCTGGATGCCTGTTTTTTGTTGTTGTTGTTGTTGTTGTTGTTTTTTTTTAGTTAAGTAATTTTCTTTATTTCTAATACATTTCATTTTTTAAAGTCAAGCCAAACCAGGTACATACGCTAACCCTAGTGTATCTCAACCATTCAAGAGCTTTGGGGATTTGCATAAATTCCGCTGTATTCATTTGCATCAGTAATAGCTTGCTTTAATTTAAATGACAAAAAGAACTGTGGCTGTTTTGGTTTTCTTTGTTTTTACAAAAGCTACGTAAATAAATCTTTAATCAGAATTTACTTCCTATTTCTATCTGGGACAGAACGTGATCCTGGGTCTGGTCCTGAATGGTAATCACTGGTTTTAATTTAAATAGAAAGGTGTCCTTTATGTGCAGGACTAACGCATGAGACTGGTGTCTCAGATCACTTGTTTTGGGTCTGATCCCTGCTAAATCATGGCCAGACATAACAGAAACGGGCCTGCATCTTGAAAACAATCACACTTAAATACCAAGGAGCTCACTCGAAATGCAGTACGGAAGCTTTATGGCGGATATTGTAATTGTACACCAACATATGTTCAGTTCATTGCTCCAAAAGATTCTAATGCAGTCAGGCTGCTGATGCATCTGTGACTCATGCTGACACACTCGTACAGGCCATGTGGAAACGTTTGCGCTGATGCGGTCAGTAGTCTTGGTTAAATTAACGTTCCAATTGATATCATCTTTATCATCTTGTGTTGATCATGCATGTGCATGAAAACAGAACTAGCAGGATACATAAAGGTGGGAATGACATTGTGAAACTCTTCATGTGATTAAAAAAATGTAAGGACATTTAATAAATTATTTTTTTATTAACATTTCTGGTTGTGCTTGTTCTGTCTGAGCAAACTGTTGGGGTGTTAATGTCAACTTCATCATCTGAAATACCCTCATAAATGCATTGTACAGTGTCAACACAGGTCACGTTAACTGATCTGTAAAACTACAGCGTGGTTGCGAATATTTCTCAGTATGTGATGTCATTTTGGTACAGTTAGCTACACTTAATTACACCACGACCAACCCAACCTGTTGTTTACAAAAATGTATTTTATGGAACTGTTGTTGCATGAAGTCTATATTATACTAGAAGGCTTTGGTTTTTCAGCAAGTCTGTTGCCACCAGTTCTAACTATTTATTAACATAGTCACAATAATAAATAATAAACTTTATTTGTATAGCACTTTTTAAGAACAGAATTTGCAAAGTGCTTTTACATAATAAAGAAATAAGACACACAGAGACAAGGTAACAGGAAAACAAGAAAAAGTGCAGGCAAACACTCAATAAATATAAAAATACACACAATAAAAATGGAAAAGAGCAGGCTGGGTCACTACTGAAAGGTGTACTAGTACAACTGATTAAAAAGACGACATCACAGAGGGGAATGAAGATAAAAGCTGAAGATAAAAGTATGATAAAAGTACATTAAGAAAGAGAAAAGAGAGAAGGACAGCAGGCAGAACCAGTATAAAAGGGGAAAAGAAACAGGCGAAAATCTAAAAGAGAACATCACTGGAAAGCGAATCTATAAAAGTGGTTTTAAGAAGCGATTTAAAAGAAGATGCTACATGTGAATCTGTTTATGTGGTCAGTTTTTCATCCGAGTCAAAAATTCTCTCAAACAGAATGAGATCGTGTTTTTTGAACCATTGGACTCAACGGGCAACAAGTGGAAGAAGAAGGGCTGGAAGTAGCAATTACTTTCAGTATTGATTAATCTTTCAATTATTTTCTTTATTAACTGATTATTTGTTTGCATTGTACGACCATAAATTATTTAGTTTGCTGTAAAAGAGGAGTAAAGGTGGGGAGTGGCAGTTGTGCTCCACCGTTACCATCCGTGTTTACTTCTGCAAACACTGAGCATGCTCGCTGCGTTTGACGTCGTTGTGTTCTCTTCTGTGCATGCGGGACACTTTTGGGTTGTGTGAAGTTCACACAGCAGATCACATACAAGTCGCATTTAACTGGAAATGTGAACGAACTCGCCGAAAAATCTGAATTGAGCATTAAGTCCTGCAGTCTGAACGTAGCCAATCTGTGGGATTGTTCAGTCAGATAATACGCCGTTATCCTTATTAGTGACATAAAATGTCATGTCAGAGTTAAATCCAAGGCTGTCGGTCTGTTAAGGCTGTTTTTCATGGGTTCTGTTCGTTTTTCTTGAAACCCTGTCGGATAGCAAGGTTTTCGGATTGTTAAGGGTCAGATTGTCAAGTCATGACTGTACTGTCAAATCAGAGGCTGTAAATCTAAAGCCTCTAATGGTTTAAGATAAAATCATGCATCTTTCAGTCAGATTTACCAAGTCTTGCACTATTCACGTTTAAAGCATATCTTGATTGTTGATGGCTGTGTATGGACAGTTTGTTGGGAAACATGTCACAAGTGATGAACTTTTAACAGCCCTTAAGTCATGTAATATCTGTATGTCCACAGATATCCAGGAGTTCTATGAAGTAACACTGTTAAACACACAGAAGAGCTGCGAGCAAAAGCTGGAGGAGGTCAACCACATGGCCGACAAGTGGGAAAAGAGTGTGTCTATACAAAACTCTGCCTGTCCAGTGGAGGAGGTGAGTCTCAGACACAGTGTATCAGCCCAGCAAAACCTCACATGTACCTGCACTTAAGAATTACATCTGTCTTCCCAGTGAATGAATGAAAACAGGTAGCAGCAGCAGTAAAAGCAGCAAAATGTGAATCAGCAGGAATGCTTGCTGTAGGGGTTAAAGCTTTTTTGGGCCCTTTCACACTCAACCTGTTTGGTCCAGACTTTTGGAATTTTCAATTCTATTTCAAACCTTGCTCTGTGTCTCACTATGCACTTATAAATTACCTGGAAATGTTGGCAGGTTTTCTTGCTCTGAAATATTTCTTGCTAATCTAACCAGCCTCGATGAGCTAGCTAAACGCTGCACAAAGCTACAGATACATTCCCCACCGCTGGCCTCTCAGTTACAATCGTCAGGTTATCCATCGCTGCGATCACAGTACATCTTCCGGTCGCCATTTTCCTGCTTGTGTCCTTCTTTTCAGAGTTGTATTCGTTTACAGATAAATGAAAGTAATGATGAACATGTAGCCCAAACACAGTAAAAGCACTAATATTTTATCACAAAAAAATGGTAATAGCTATGAACGATATCGTTGGGCTCACTTTCAGAGCGATCTCAGAACAGCTTCTCTCTCCGTTTCCATGGTGATGAAAGACGCACAGTGGCACTGTATGGAGAAGCTGTGGCGATTTTCTCAGCGTTTTCTTGGTTTCAAATCGTCTACTAACGTATACATACTCAACAAGTTTATACTGCATACTAGTGTAATGATTATAATGCAAACTGTTCCCACTGAAGTATACCAGCCCAGTGGATCCCAGCATGCAGACCAGGGTCAGACAGCTGCTGAACATCAGAGGGATGTGTTGAAGACAGAAACCAGCACCCACTAGGGGGGATAGATGGTCAAAATGACTCCTGCTACCAATGAGTTCTGGAGTCCATGCTGGTGTGTTTGGGTCTGGACAGGCTGTATAAATTGGATAAGGCTTGATGCTTACTTTGGAGACAGGAGCGAGGTCATGGTCAACCTCCAGAACAGCTGACAGATCAATGGGTAGAGGAGAGGGCTGTCTGACATGTATGTAGGCACAGTTAACCAAAATTCTTATTGGTCACTGGAGAAGAAAATATCTTCATCAGTGTCAATGTCAATGTTAACATCAAACATCAACAACACGAAACTTGAAAAGCACTTGGAGAGCGCAGACCTCCACCAAGCAGCTCATTTCCACCATATTGTGATTTCCAGCCGATGTTAAAGTTCTGCATTCATTTGATCTACACTATTAGATTCATGGATAATCAAAACATACCTTTAGCATTTGAATTAACATTGATATCATCAATAACAAGCTGACAGAGTGATGAACGGTCGTTTTGTTCTCTCAAATATTTTGTACACTTACATTATTTCTGCAGTTACTTACTGTGTGGTTACAGCAATCCCATAAGATCGTGACATAAAAGCATTTCAGTTGAAATGTAGGTCAGTACCTTGTATCGTTAGTACAACCTAAAATGGATTATGCTAATTCCTGTATGATACAGTTTCTGCTTTTGCTTATTGGTTAAAAGGGACTCTTGACCAGTGTCAAAGAGCCATGTGTCTTTGCACACCCAGTGTGTCACTAATAACATGTTTGACTTGGAATCGGACCACCCAGTCTGAAAATCCACTTGTAATCCTATTTGTCGATGCTGTCAACCCTCGTGCGTCACACCTGCCTTTTTTTGTCGTAACAGTGAAGAATTGGCTATAAGGGACACAAATATTTCCGAAGAGATTAAGTGTGAAAGGTCTTTATAGCTTTTAAAATAGCCCCTCTGTAACGGCAGGAGCTTCTGAACTACTTTGCTAAGGTCATCGAGTAGTACCAGGATAGGGATAAGTGAATGGGATTAGAAGAGTCCCTAGAGAACAATGACCCCACCATGAGGTCATCAGTACACTGCTGTTATATCCCCTCTTCTGTTACCACAATCAGCCCTCTCTGGATTATGCAAATGTAATGCCAAGTAATCAGATGGCAGAAGACCTCATCCAAATAATTAAAATGGTCCAAAAGGTTCATGAGAGCATGTAAACTCATTTTATATACAGAGGGGTATTTTAGATTTTTCGGTGAAACAAAAATGCTGAAGTAATCAAGACATTAGGTTTGTTGAGCAAAATTTAATTCATATTTGTTGGCCCTCGTAGGAGTTACCAAGTTTGACAAAAGGTGCCTTTGTTAAATGTGCATTAATTTATGATTTGAGTCCTGCTGGGGTCTTAACTGTATCTCCCTCCCTTACCTCGTGGAACCTGTCCACAAGGTCCAGCGTTAAAAAGTTGTAAAAAACTGAATGAGATGTTGCCAATATTTCAGTGGTTTATCAGCAAAGGACTGACATGAGTCATGTTTAGACAGATTAATGGCTGTAACAAATACAAGACACAGTATAAACAAGACTGACTCCCAGCATGCAGTAGGGCCCCATGTGAAATGCAGATACTTGTGTTGCCCAGTATTCCAACACCAGAAAGGTACTGCAATACCTTACAATTAAAAATGGGACTATAGCTTATTTAATTAGTACCTAAAGTACTTAAAGAATAACAGTGTTTTAATAGAAGTCGTATTTCCTGTGAGTTGTGTTGATGTGCGACAGTGGGCCAGTGTGTATGTGCTGCGCTCTGTTTTCATTCCCTGCAGGCACATTTCCTCTCATAAGCACACTGCAGCTTTCATGAGAACAAAACAAGAAGCATGGCGGCAAATACAAGAGCTCTTGTGGATTCTCCATAGATTGTTCACAAAGCAGATGCACAAAGAAAATGTGGAATTATTTCACTGTCAGCCAACAGTCAGGGCAACTACGTCAGACATACCTGCCTGCCTTTTCCAGATGTCTACCTACTGCTGCTACTTTACCAAACAATCATTCACTACTGTTTTTTGTAGCTTTTTTTTCATATCCTCCACTGCCTTGCAATGAAATTGTCAAAATAGCAAAACAAAACCAAATTCTATCATCTTTTTTTTTTTTTCCAAATACTTTTCCTGATGTGAAGCTATGTTTAGATGGAGGTCTGGAGTCACACTTATGCTTCTTAACTGAACAATCTGCACTTTCCTCATGAACATGATGAAGCGGGCTAGTACATGCCCAAGTATCACATTATCATTGAGGCTGCTGGCAAAAGCTGCCTGCAACCAGAGCAGTGACTGGGTTTGAGTTTGAAGTGCTTTATATAGTGGAATCAAATGTCTGCAAAGAATGGTAAACAGTGAAAATACATTCAGATTTAAAACTACATAACGCATTTTGATAGATAATGATTAAACTACAGACAGCTTTAGTAAAATCACACACAACAATAAATCATTATTTAGCGATTATGTATAAATGATACATTAATCCTGCAAAGCCCAAATTTAAAATAAAAAAAAATTACATTGAAATATAAATATATAAATAGATATATAATATATTAGAAGTTGTTGTAGGAGGCCTCCGATTCAAATTTATTATGTTTTATTAAGCTTTTCAGGAAATATTGCAACGTTTGCACTTGCTGGGAGCAGAATTTCTGTATTTGTTCTCTCATCGTCTTAAAAAAATATACCAAACATCAAAGGGTTCATTTGCAGGGTTGATTGCTTATGTAGCCCCATAACAATATCCAACCATCCATCCATATTCTATACTCCACTTTATTCTTTGCACGGTCGCACAGGAGCCTGTTCCATCTGACTAGGGGTGAAGGCAGGATACATCCTGGACAGGTCACCAGTCTATCACAGGGCTACACTTAGAGACAGACAACCAAGCACACTCACATTCACACCTACGGACAATTTAGAATCACCAATTAACCTCAACATGTTTTTGGACTGTGTGGGAGGAAGCCAGAGAACCCGGAGAGAACCCATGGTGCAAGGGGAGAACATGTAAACGCCACACAAAAAAGATCCCAGGCTGAGATTCAAACCCAGGACCTTTTAGCTGTGAGGCGACAGTGCTAACCAACATCTTCCAGCCCCAGAACAGTATATATATAAAAATAAAGTACTGAGTTCTGTTTTATTCCCAGTGTTCATCCATGTTTATGGTAGTTTATGTTGTGGCAGTCCTACAGATAGTTCTCCTCTACAAAATGTCCTTGTCCTCTGATTCCTGATTGCACCTCAAAACTACTCTCGTCATTTTGGATGGCATTATAGAGCCGTATAGAGCACCAGTAATTAATTAGGTCCTCAGTTCTTTTGATGCTGAGGTTGCATGAATGTTCTTGTGTTCATTCTTACGGCCAGCATGTAAACATTTTAGGTGCTTTCTTCCAGGCTGAGACATTTTAGAGTTAGTTCGTAGAAGAGCAAAGAGAAGAAACTGACAAACTGTGAGGCAGCTGCTAAAATCAAATGGTTGACCTGGAAAGAAGCGAGCAGTGAGGGGATGGGATCATAGCAATTCTTAGCTTTATGACTATGTGTTACCCATTTTCAATGTGAAAACTGAGCTCGGGTGTCTGGAGAAAAGCGACTTCCTGTTTTCACACCTTTTATTTTACACCTCAGAGTTCGCAAAACACAATACATTTTTTGATTTGAATAGATTTTTTTTAAAACATGGGACCTTTAAGCAACAAGGCCTTGTTCCTACAATCATGTGAACAGATGAAGCAAATTTGTGTGTAATGTGCTATGGGTTTGTAGTACATCTATGATTTGTTTTTTTAGCTGCCATTGGCACATCAAGGCTTACACTATCTAAGCGTCTAATTAAAGACTTTTCAGTGCAACAGACAGACTGACCAGCCAGTGATGACTCAAGCTATCAGTCAGCGCCAATTCTTGCATAACTCTTACAACTACATGCTGTTATTGTGCATAAAAAACCACACTGAACAAAAATATAAACACAGCACTTTTGTTTTTGGTCCGGTTTTTAATGAGCCATTAACGAGGAGTGGACTAACATTCGGATCTCAAAATTAATATCAGGATGTCACCACAACGTCCGAATATTCAGGTCCAGCCCGAGTATCAACACATATTTCCTGTCCTGTTGTTAGTCAGGCACAGCGTGAGCAAGCTTCTTACTGCAGCCACACTTGTTTACACACTTCACGCCGCAGTTTGATGATGTCATCATTTACACGCCGGTAAATTAAGTCGAAATGCAGCCATTGTTTTATCAGTTTTCATTATAGGCAAAAAAACAATTATATTGACAGATGTTACATTTTTGTGCCAATATCGGGCATAAAATCCCAGTTAAAACTATTCATCTCAGCACTGTTGTTTTGATTTTAGCCATTGTTTGAGTCCTTTATTAAAAGCATTACTGTTGATCTCTAATTTTAGATTAGTGGGTAGAGAGTTCCATAGCCCACAGAAAGAGCAGACTGACAGAATGACAGAATGAAGTCTTGTATCTTGGGACAAGTTTGGTCGCTCTGTGAGTGGGGTTCTGGGGTGGCTAATTCAGAGAACAGTAGTGACACATGATTATTTAGACATTTGAGAGTAATAGGCCTTTTGTGTACATAGAAAACATCTCAGATCTTTGAGCTCAGCAAAGGATTTTTTTTTTTTTCAGTATAATCAGGCTTTAAGATACTTATTACCTAAATACTGACTCTGTTGTACCACCAGCTACCTTCAGGCTAGTCTGCTGGAGTTTTTTACAGTGTGGCTGTTCAGAGTTACTTATGCACCTGTTTGTTGTTCCCAGCAGAGGGAGCAGAGCAGCTCAGAACCCAGTGGGGGAGAGCAACGAGAGAGCAGCTCCAATACCTCTGAGGTAAGTTCTCTCCAGAATCAAATGCATTCTGTCTATGTGTTTACAGTGTAGTAGTGCATGTCTACATTAGATGCATGGGATCTTTTTAATTCATTTTACTATACATCACATTAAGTCACCAGCTGTGTATCTGTTGGTTCACTTCATTCTGTTGTAAAATTGTGATTTCTTCTCACTCATCACTTGCTGTGTAACAAAGCTCAACACATCTTCCCCCAACAAAACAACACTTGGTTCCTCAAGAAGCAATTTGCAGCTCCATAATCCCAACAACAATAAGCTCACAAACGTAAATGAGATTATGTTGGTGCAAGGAAGGGAGATGTGGTTTGAGGGCATGAGACCAGAATAGAGACTGTAGTGGCAGTTATTACAGCCCTTTGGACATCACTGATGTGACATAAGCTATACTATCTCTCAGTGTGTGAGAGCAGGGAACAGCCAGTCTAGCTATAGATAACAATTCATTTATTTTTTTGGTTTTCTTGGGAGTAGTGATGTTTAATGATTAGGAACTGTAAAGTTTTTTAATTTAATATGTAAATGAGATATTTTACGTGTGACTACAGTGAATTTCATTGTAAGTATTTAGTTTATAACGTGCATCATAGAATTGTATTTTAATCACTATATGAGGAATGTTCCTTTGAGTCAACATGTTGAAGTGCTTGCTGCTGTATGTTTTGGCTTTTCCAGCCCAACATACTATTAAAAAGAAATCAGAAATGAAGAAATAAATTGACAATAGGTTGCATTTATGTTGTAAACAACACAACATTTACATTAAAAAGGGAGCCAGGCATACTTTCTACTTGCTATGTACTGAAATAAATAATGTCATCAGTGAATCTATGCATGAAGACCTTTTTATTTGCTATGTCATGCAACATATATTTAGTTAAACTGCAGGCCAGCTTCAAGGTCAACATGTTGTGTAAATCAGTCAAGCAAGCTGTTTGCGCCGTCAGTGCTGTTACATACATAGACAAATCCAAATTTGTCACACCTACACCGTATATATGAGTGGTAGCCCTAACAAAGGAGGTTAAAGCATTCCTTCTCCCTAATGCAATAAGTCGAAGCTGCCTGAGCTGCACCACCTGAAAAGATTAGCCCTGTTGCTCTGGCAGAGTGAGTCTGAGCTGGTAAATGTGCTCAGTAGGAACAACGGGAGGTCGGGAGTGTATGGGTGCTGCTTCGTCCACAAATGAAGGCAGTAATCAAAGTCAAAATCTGCAACACACCTCTTCACCAGGATGGCTCCAGCAGACAGGTACTTGTTTATGGGAGGGAAATTGGCTGTTGTTCCTAGAAGGGGAAACGTTAGAGACATCAGAGTGAGCATAGTTAACCTGGACAGGTTATTGATTTGTAATACAGCACTAAGAGAGTGAGGCAGAACACCTAGGTTGCTGTGTTGTCGCCTGTATTTTACTTAAGCACAGTAATATAGTCTCATTCTGCCGTATCATGTACTTGCAAAATAGATACAGGCGTCTTGCTCAGAACAATCTGTTTCTCATTTGTGCTTTTCATATTCATGTGTGAATTCAACATTGAACAATTAAGCATGAATTTAAAACTTGTTAGTCCATTTTGAATTCAACAGAAACAACCAAAATGGGGCTTGTTGTTGTTCTTTGTGTTCAGTAGCTGCAGCTAACGTATATGTTTGGGTGATAATTGTTCTGTTTTCTAGTAACACTGACAGATAACAGATAAAATAAAAAAGACTACATCAAATGTTATGTGAATGTTATGTTAGCAATATCATGTAAAATTATTGTAGTCATTTATAAGATTCACATTTCTCTGACGTTCTGTAAGTAAAGCCTTTATCTAAGAATTCAACTATATATTTGTGTTTTGTCCTGATTAAATGTAATACTAATACCTTCAGGCTGTTTGAGATGTATGTTACTCAGTTAGGAGCACTGAGACTTGACTTGTGTTGCATTTGAAAAGAGAACTTTTCATGCTTTTACAGAATCATTCTTGTAACCTCTCATGTATCTGCGAGCATTAGTCTAGATTTAGCTGCTTCTGCTTGTGGGGACTTTTGACACCAATTTAATGTGGTATTTTGATAGAACTTCTAGTGTCTCATGAAGTAATTGTAGATGCAGCTTTCACATTTTGTTGATGCACAAGTGGTTCTGTCACTTTGTAGTGACAATACACATCTGGAGACCTGCAGTTGAAACTGGAGTTGTGGATGGCAGTGAACTCTGAGCTTGCTGTCAGGTTTTCACTGGATCGGACTGGACTGCATTGCACTCACAAGGTGTTGAGTTGTGCTTTCAAGTGTTCAACATCTGGCCAAAAAAAATCATTGTTCTCAGCAAAGGTTTTTCATCAGTTTTTAAAATTGTACAAGCCATTAAATAGGGCTGTAAGGTGGTTTGGTGGTTTGCACCGTTGCCTTGCAGCTAGAAGGTCGCTGGTTCGCGTCCCAGTGAGGACACCCGGGATCTTTCTGCGTGGAGTTTGCATGTTTGTGGGTTCTCTGCGGGTTCTCCGGCTTCCTCCCACCTAGTCCAAAAACATGCTGAGGTTAATTGGTGATTCTAAATTGTCCGTAGGTGTGAATGTGAGTGTGCTTAGATATTATATAATGGACATGTTGGCTGCACATTGTTCTCTTGATGAATTGTTTGATCTGCACACAATACAAAAATGCCAATCACAGTCGCCCTAAATCAAAGAAGACATCAAATGTCTTGTTTTGTTTATTCAACTGTCCAAAACAACAAAAAAAAGAAAACAACAAAGCCTTACATTTCAAAAGCACAAACAGTTTGGATTTTTGAGCAATTTGTATTTTTGGCATAGATGGATATTATTACTATTACTGGTTTTAGCCCCAATTCCAGGTTCCTGCCTCCTGCAAATACCATATTGGTCAACGTCACACACTGTCAAAGGTCTGTCACGAAGACAGTTAAATGCGCTGCTGCCACTGAGTTGCAGATGAAATTTAAGACAGCGTGTTGCTGTTAAGTTCCAGCAGTCTGCCACAGCAGCTAATAGTCAGTGAGACAGAGAACGTGAGAACCTGATTCATTCCGCTGAGCTCATGCTCTCATCCTTCGCTCTCTTCTCTCGCTCTCTCTCTCCTATCCCATAACGCTTAGTCGCTGGAGACATGAGAAAGAGAGAGGAGGAGAAGATTAACGGGAGACAGAGGGTGAATGAGAGAGAAAGAGAAGCTAAGGAATGATTTTGGGTTATTGGAGGAGACCAGCTGCTAAGCGTTTTTTTTTTTGTGTGTGTGTGTGTGCGTGTATGTGTGTGTGCTTGCTGGCTGATGACGTGCGCTGTGCTCTGAGATGGTGTTAGGAATCCTGATTGCCTTCAGCGCTGTGGAGGAGGCATCTCACTGCTCACAAGGGGCCCACATGCAGTAACGTCTGTTCACTGTGGCTTCTCTCTCTCACCAGGGAGTGTATGTGTGCGAGTGTTTGGGTCTGCGTGTATGCATTCTCTTCCCTTCACCCTGTTCTCCATCGTTTGTTCATACTGATATCTTTTTCTCCAGCTTCCCGTGTTTTTGTTTTTTTTTCTTCCTCCAATAGTGATATTAGTGGTGATGAATTTAAGCAGAGGTTGAGAGCTCCTTTTTCTCTGACAGGCATGGATTGTCTTTGCATTGTCACTACTAAGGTAAGATCCACAGCACGGATGAATGATTCATTGGAACGGAGAGGGGATAAGAGGGAGACATGGACTGAGACAGAGAGAATGAGCACTGTGGGAGAATGAGGTATGCAGTGAAGCAGGAGGAAAAAAGGTCTGTCTACGTGTTGGCTATTTCTGAATGTTTGCATGTACATCCATGTCTTTACAGTCCTGATGGTGTTCATCACCCTGTAAGTTTGAAGTGAAGAGTTGAATAAAATATTTGTCTCTGTTGCAGCTGTATGCTTTTTAGCATTTATGTTCTGTGGTCTGTTATCTCCTGAAAGAGTGATTTGTCAGGTTTAGTCTTGAGTGTGTATGTGTGTGACAGAATGATTCATTTTTTTTTCTCTCTGACAACAGTTTGTGTCAGTCAGCAACACTACGGATAGCACGGGCGTCTGTCTGTTAAGATATGGCAGCAGAAGTTGGGTTGAACTTCTGTCAGCCAGCTGGTGGTTTTGCTGCAGCCCTGTGCTCACACAGCATATTGGCACTTCTGGATTCTGTTTACTGCACTTGGCTAACATTGCAAGCAAAATATTGTTGCATCGTTATGATAGAATCTTTGTGCGAGCTGCGGACCTGTAGGATTTCCTATTCCCTTTGTCATCAGTCATTGTGTAACGGATCACTGCATCCTTGGAAACCACCCTTTACTCATTGCAACATTCTGCTTTTCTGAATCTTTTCTCTTACATATTTATTATTTCTTTTATGCAGATATTACTGTGTGTTAGTTGTTTATTACCTCATGTACTTTTCATTTGATTGTGACTGGCTTCCACGTGACTTAAGCAACAGCACTAGACAACAAGTAGCACGATGCATTTATTGTTCTGCTTAAGTGCAGTACAGGAACTGCAGGTATGTTTCTGTGAGCTGATTGTGTTTTAGTTAAAATGTTAACATGATAGACTGTTTGACATATAAACAAATGGCTTCACGCACCAAGCCGTGATGATGTTAATGCAGTTTTCTCATTTGAGCTGGCTGTGAGATTCCATATGGCTGTGCTAATGTTGTGGCTGTGGAAATGCCAATACAAGTTAGAGTTGTGCAGTCTTTTGGATGGTGGTTTGGATACTTTGGTCTGGACTGAAATATTTCAATCCATCAGCAGGACCCAGATGATGAATTGTAATAGCTAATAGTCGTGGCATCACCTGGTCCAAATGTTGATTTGTCAAAATATGGGTAAAGCTAATAGCATGTTCGATCACGTTGAGCTGCATTATGTTGAAAGAGTCGGCCATTGACTGTCCTGTTTATTAGTTGTGCGAAAAGCAACATCTTGAATGTTTTCTTGTCATTACAAGTAA